CAACAATAATATTATAATGTGGATGTTACTACAATTAAAACTACTGATGAGGACAACTGATTTTTTTATATTTTAAAACAAACTCAAAATACATTGTTCCAAATTATTATGTATGGCACAGTTTGAAAACATTCGATCAGTTGTAACGAATTCGAAACAGTTGTATTTGTTGCGTGAACAAATCATTTTTCAAACAGTAAATGCAATTTAAATAAAAAAAATATTTATAGATCATTTACATAGGAATATATGAGCCCTTCTTTGATATCACTTTAACAACTCTCTCATCCATTGAACTTGTAAGTCCATGTATAGTTTCTGCCTGTATTTCATTTGAGGATGCCAGTATTGCCTCCCAGAGCTGATATTTTGAGGTATGCTGCCACCCACCCTCCTTTTCCTTTTAAGGGTGCTCCACAGATGCTCAATAAGGTTGAGGTCAGGGGATGACTGTGGCCACACCATGATCTTTTCTCCCTTCATGCCCATAGCAACCAAGGAGTCAATGGTGTTTTTTGCAGCATGGGATGGTGTGTTGTCCTGCATGAAAATCATTTTGATCATTTTGACACCCTCAGGGATCCTAAAGGGACGTATCATCTCACTTCCCAATATTCCAGCCCAAATCATCACTCCGCCGCCCCCTTGCTGACGTTGCAGTCTTGTTGGAACAGGGTGGCCGTTCAGCAACCATCCAGAGCTCCATCCATCTGGACTATCCAGTGTAGCACGGCATTCATCAGTGATGAAAACTGTTTGAAAATTAGTCTTCCTGTATTTCTGAGCCCACTGAAAATGTTTCTTTCTGTGAGCATTGGTTAGGGGTGGCCAAAATACGGCTTTATGCACACCTGAAAGCCTCTGGAGGATTCTGCATCGAGAGATTCCTGGGACTCCAGAGACACCAGCAGCTTCAAATACCTGTTTGCTGCTCAACAGTGGCTTTTTTAAAGCTGCCCTTTAATACTATTAATTTGCCTGACAGAAACTTTCCTTAATGAGCCTTTATCTGACCGAATTTGTCCACGCTAAGAATCACACACACATTTTTTTCACAGTATGATGATCTCTCTTCAGTTTTCTCGAGGTATCAATTGTTTTCATGCCTTTTGCAAGACGTTGCACTATTTCACTCTTTTCATCTTCAGAAAGATCTTTCTTACTCCTCCTATTGCTTGAGAACTGTGACTTGCTTAATAATGTGGAACAATCTCTGTAAGTAGGTTTCCCCAAACCTTTCTGAGATTGATACCAGTTTTCTAAAAGGATAGGAGAAACAAAACAAGCAAAAACTTTTGTAGAAAAGCTAAAGACTAAATGTTTATTTATCTGAAATCCCACTGATAGGTGACTTGCATAATAATTAGGGACACAGTGTAGTTTTTTAATGAGCATCATATATATTCCTGACATGACTACCCTGGAAAAGACACGTTTCCTAATTAATGAAATGGTGGCTGCAGCACAAACACATTTTTATTGGCCCAGAAAATGCTGACACAGATGTATCTGATTCTTTGTATTAACGCTTCCGTAAAGTAACTTTCCATCTGTCAAAAGCCAGGCTGCGTACCATAATATTATGCTAAAATGGCTGCTGTTTAAAGCTCTTTTTAAAAAGACTGACACAAATAATAATGGTTACCAAGTGACAAAGGCAATAATGCCGCTTCTCCTCCCTCATTAAAAAATTTAATTCCATACTGAAATAATTATATGGTTTTCTCAGTGTTATGGTCAGTGTGGAATATTAGTCCATCCATATGATGTAAACATCAGTGATTCTGTTAATTACACAGCTAACTTTGTAATCACATATTTGAACCAACTATGTTTCCGTATTTAAACATATTCATATTTTATATTTAATGCTACATTAAACAGCGTTTTTAACACAGAAAATGTTTTCATTCCTTTAGTTGAGGAAATCCAGCCTCCTTTCTAATTATTTCTTTTTTCATGTTTTGATCTAAGTTCTTAGACAAGTAAATCCTCTCGGTACTGCTTGCTGAGAATTCGTTTCAGCACATTTAAATAATGACTCCTGTTTTTTAAAGGTAATTTGATGGGACATTACTGGCATTGTAAATGGAAGGTAATTTAACACTTGAGCAACCTTTTTCACACCATGTGCACGTCATAATGAATCATAATTGAACTGCTCTGGTTTTCACCAGTTGGTTCCTTAAGCTGATTCTGGTGCCTGAGCTGAAATGCAAAACAGACCTTAAATTGAATAGTGGGGGAGGGGGGGGTATTTATTGTTTTTCATCAAATGGCCTGTTTTCATAAATGGAACCAGATCATGAAGAGTGGATGCAGCAGCTCTGTGGGTTCATGTAAGAAAGGCTGGACATGTGAGAATCACCATCACTCAGCTTTGCAGGACTCATGGGATAGCACTCTGACAATTACTCACCTTCATGACTCACTTGGCACTTCAACCTCTCATGCTGGTCCCTTTGATCCTACCTGAATTTAATTTATGTCTAATCTGTCTACTCTCTGCCCCTTAAATCCTAATGCACTCTACTTCTGTTCAGTTTGCCCCTCCTTGATTCTCCTTCCTATCCCTTTTAGTCTTACCTGTCCATTTGCACCATAGTTCATTATACGGTCAATGATGGTGCTATTCCACTCCACAGCAGGAGGGGGGCACTGTAGTTCTTACTCTGAGATACATTGGCGATGGACCCAGGCTCCTGGCTCCAGTGCAGGTCTAATTAGTCCTCCTCTTCATCATTTATTTATCCGTCTTAACTGGGGTCCCTCACAGAGGCGACGTGTTCCCTTTGACTACGTGTTAATAATGGATGAAGCCCTTTGTCGTCTTTAGTGGGCCATAAATCCACAGGGGAAGTGAGAGATCATCGCGCTTGGCACCAGAAATGATGTGATGTCCCTGCTGATTGAGGCCACTGCAGTAGAGTGTGGTTGTGGAATTAATGAGCGCTCGTGTGGGGCTCATGCTTCTCCACCTCCAGGGACACCAGTCTGGCCGCCTCATGACTGAATGAATTACAGACGTGGCCACTTATTTTTCATTTGGGCTATTCTCCTAGTAATTCACTTCCTTTAATTCATAACCCCTGTTTTATCTACCTGCTGAAACAGAGAGCCCCATGTGGATAAATATCCATGACATTTTCGACATATCATCCAATGCATCAAAGCAAAGATGTATTCTGTTTTTATGCACTTATCCTTAAGTTTTGAAGCCCCCTGCACATCAAAGATGAAAGACCTGTGAGATTAAGTGTATCTTAATGAGAGGCACTTCCAGATGAGGAGAGTGGAGAGTTATGTCTTGCAGTGCTGTGATCCTGAAGTGGAGAGGGTGAGTCAGTTCATTGAGGTGACTCGGTTTTATGAGACAGACTTCATTTTTTTCTCAGGGAGCTCTTTCACATGTGTCATGTTCAGCTGCATGCACCTTGCAGGTCCTGTTAAATTCAAAATGGATAACCATTTAGGAGATGATGGCTGTGGGACAAGTCATTTACTCCATCTAGTACAGCATCTTAATCGTCTTGTTTGTCCAGATTCCCATGGATCTGGACTGCTGTCACTAATCAGGTCATGGGAAAGACTCCAGTACTGAAGGGGGGTTTTACATAGCTCTGCATATTCACCATACTCATCAACCCTCTATGCAGCTGGATAAGCTCACTCACTTCATAAATCAGGGGCAGTCAAACATCGTTAACACTAACCCTGTGCTGAGCCCTCCAGAGGGCTGATGGTTCACATAGTACATAGTCTTCCGCAACAGTTGACAATGAATTAGCATTTTTGAGGAAATAAACCGAGGACAGAAAAGCCCAGGTCTGAGAACTCAGTGTCTTGCTGCCTCAGCTAAATTATCCAGGCTGTGCTGAAGCAGGCTCCTTTGATCAGTGGGCTAAGTTTTCTCACTCTTTCTCTCTCTGAAGCTACATCTGTGGCAAATGAAACAACTACACAGCTGAAATTTTAACTTTAGTTCAAACTAACTTAGTTGTGTTGGAATGTTTATTTATTTGTTTATTGGGGTGGTATTTTAATAGAAAACCATGGCTCTGCAATATGTCAGTCTAACTTGTGACCCCATCTGTTTGAGTCTGTTGCTTAACCTGCTCTCCTGCTTTATGCATTCCCCCAGTTCCTTGTCTTGAACATGGCACCGCAGCATTGCTAAGATGGGATATACCTGTCCGAGGTACACAATCACCTGCATCCACCTGCCTCAGTGCATCACTGCCTCATAAATGCTGGGGTATATGCCATTGGAACAGTGCTATTGCGTAACAGTTCAGGGCCTGCCAGGTAACCCCCAGGTTGAAGGCTGCTGTACTTAGCCCCAATCACCTCAGTTAACATCCAGCTGTACAAATAGATAATGTGGAGAAATGTAAAATGTGTAAGTAGCATTTGATAAGAGCATCTGATAAATTCCTAAATGTAAAATGTTTTCTATGCAATGTGTTGGAGGTAAGATAAGCTGTGTTTGTACATAATGTTTTGAGCCAGTTTTCTGAGAGTCCAGAGATGAGATTTTGTCAAATCCATCTTATAGGGCAAGCATAAGCATTTGCCATTTCACTGGTCATGTCAGCCTTCCTTCTTCCTCAAACGTTCACCTGGCTTGGGTCAGACGTGGAGTATCCATGGTGACTTCCCACATCCTCAGCTAAGAAGGATATTTGGAAATATCACCGTGTTATTGGGATGCTGTAATATTGTAACATTATGGAGGGTTATCGCAAAGTAACATTGTAATTTAGCACTGTGTTGGAATCTTAACACACTGTAATTCCATTATGTAATAACATAATGTTACTATAGTTTTTCTTAAATGTGATCATGATGAGTCTGGAGCAATTTGAGTGATGGGAAGGAAGCAACTCCATCCTGTCTACCTATCACATTACAGTCATTTTAGGTGACATGTCTATCCAAAGCAACTTATCATTGATTAGGCTAACCAAGGGCCAATCCCCCTTGGGAACAATATGGGGTTAATGGCCAGACTGGGTCTTGAACCACCAACCTCAGGGGCCCTAGCCACATATCTTAGCCACTAGACTACAGACTACACATTTACTGCTCCAGTGGAAATTAGGGCAGAATACCTTCACAGAACCAGGTGTTTGGCTTTGAAATCTCACATTCTGACATTCTTCATTTTTTCAGGATTTGAAGAAAATTAATGTGATCACCTGCTCTGGATTTGAGGTAGCACTGAATTGGATAGTCAGACATGCTTTCCATTCAAAATTATCTGTATATGAATGATTCAATCTTGGAAATTTCCAGATCATTTACACTCCAGATATGTCCTAAACAGCAATATAGAGATTAATAAACCTCTGTACATTAGACATTTTTTCTCAGTGGCACTCCAATTGTTTGCAGTAATGTATTAATTTGTTGACTAGCTTAAAAAAAAAGTATATTTGGGGGAAAATAAAGTGTATTTTTAATAAAGTGTCAATAAATAAATGTCATATATACAGCATATCTCTGATTGTGTTTTTCTGTCTACCACAAATAATACAGTCAGAGTTATCTCCACAGCTCTGTACCTGTCTGTCTCTGTCTGTCTCTCCTCTCAGCTCAGTGTCTGATATCTCCCACACAAAAGAGGTACACTGCCCATCTAACCATAATGCATTCTGACAGGTCCTGGTCAGTGGGGTCTTTTCTAAACATGTCCCAAAATCACCTCCAGGTATTTTCACCTCAGTGTTTCTTTGTTTTTTTTTTCAAATCCTTTAATCTACACCTCTCTTTCTCTCTATGCCCCCTTCTTTTATTTTGCTCTGGCATGTCATCTCAAGACAAAAATTAGAACATATTTTTTTTAGTATCACCTTTACTCATCTTCCCCTCATAAAAATTAATATAATGATATTGCTCGCAGATAGCTGTACATTAGCTATTCCCAACCTGTGCTCAAGGTGAAGTGTTCTCTCTCTCATTAGGACAGAATTCCATTAGTGAGTTGAAATTATTTCAGCAATAGATACTTTCTAACAGACTGACTGAAGGGGGTGGTTTTGACAGCACTAAGAGGACCAATCAATGCCAACTACTGCAGTAACAGTGCTATATCAGTGAATTACTTCAGCTGAAAAATTGTTCAACTTGGTGCCCAGCCCTGTTGAGTCTATGGAGGAGTTATACCAGCAGAAATTTCTTATTCACATTGACACATTTACTTTAATACCTTTGAGAACATATAATGGCTGCAAGAGAGTGGCACAGAACTGGTGTGCTTTCTATTATACCAGCCATTGGATCAATACTGTTGCGGAAAAAGGGAAAGGGTTTCAAAATATATTTCAAAAGGTTTTGGTTTAAAAAAATATATTCTTAAAAAATCATTAAAAAGTCATGAAAAATGGTTAGACACTTTCCTTGACAATTCAAATGTGCCCACATTATAAACTATTTGCTTTACAGCTGTTTCATTTACAGCTTATAAAATATATGCATGTGTAGCATTGTGTTCACATTTCTGCTCATGTATATAAAGTAACTTACTGCGGAATTTATATGAAGCTCACTCAGATAATACTTTGTGCCTCGTGTCCTAGAAAAAGTCTGTATGGACACAAAGTAGTTCAAACATTTTGAGGATTCCACCCCCAAGTCTTCAAAGCCAGTTTCACAGAATCCTGAGTATTGCAGCAATAAAAAACAATCTTTGAAAATGATATGTTCATTCTTAAAAAGTCATTGAAGTGTCAGGGGAAGAATGAAAGTCATCTGAGCAGGAGCCTTGAGGACCACAGCAACGAGAGACGCTACCCTTTGATCTGAGAAGTTTTGGTTCAGTTTTCTCTCTCTCTCTCTCTCTCTATATATATATATATTCCTCCTGTTTCTCTCCAGTTTTCCCAACCATTAATTTTGTAGTTCTGTCCTCCAGCAAAGGCACAGCCAGTGTGTAAAAGCAGCTATATTCAACCACAGGGGAAAACCTGTATTAATCATCTAGTATATAAAAGCAGTGATATTCTGTCACCCATTTAAACACGGTATTCAGCCATGAATAGCCATATTGCCACCTCTCCAGTTTTATTTTGCAGACTCCAGATTTAATCCAACGAGTGTGGGTCTCTGGGTATTTAATTCTTGATTAGAAAGGAAAGAAAGTAACTGAATAGGCAGACTTATTTAGCAAAAGTCCCACTCCAAGCAAGCTAATTTGAGGACAGAAACAGCTGTTTCTCTCCTACTGGGTGTACGCGTGGCACAGAGGATATGGGACTCTGCAAATAGGCTTTCGCAGGTGCCACTCAATCATCACAACATGGAAATGGCAGAAAACTGGCGTAGATATACTAAGAAAAAAAACATAAAATCACAGTGTATCCTCATTTAATGGTTTCTTTCAAAAGAACTGCATGTTATGCAGGTTTATATAAAAAACAAAAATAGACATTATTTTGCTGTAACTCTGTTATTAAGCACTGATTAGAATTTTTTGCATCAACAATACACCAATCAGCCATAACATTATGACTACTGACAGGTGAAGTGAATAACACTGATTATCTCGTTATCATGGCACCTGTCAGTGGGTGGGATATATTTTGCAGCAAGTGAACATTCGGTCCTCAAAGTTGATGTGTTAGAAGCAGGAATAATGGGCAAGCATAAGGATTTGAGCGACTTTGACAAGGGCCAAACTGTGATGGCTAAATGATTGGGTCCAAGCATTGCCAAAACTGCAGCTCTTGAGGGGCATTCCCAGGTGCAGTGGTCAGTACCTATCAAAAGTGGTCCAAGGAAGGAAAAGCGGTGAACCAGCGACAAGGTCATGAGCAGCCAAGGCTCACTCATGTACATGGGGGGTGAAGGCTGGCCCGTGTGGTCTGATCCAACAGACGAGCTACTGTAGCTCAGATTGCTGAAAAAGTTAATGATGGTTCTGGTAGACAGGTGTCAGAACACACAGTGCATTGCAGTTTATTGCGTATGGGGCTGCATAGCCGCTGATCAGTTAGGGTGCCCATGCTGACCCTTGTCCACAGCCGAAAGTGCCAACAATGGGTACGTGAGCATCAGAATTGGACCATAGAGCAATGGAAGAAGGTGGCTTGGTCTGATGAATCACGTTTTCTTTTACATCACGTGGATGGCCGGGTGCATGCTCATCCTTTACCTGGGGAACACAAGGCATCAGGATGCACTATGGGAAGAAGGCAAGCCGGCGGAGGAAGTGTGATGCTTTGGGCAATGTTCTGCTGGGAAACCTTGGATTCTGCCATTCATGCGGATGTTACTTTGACACGTACCACCTACCTAAGCAATGTTGCAGATCATGTACACCCTTTCATGGAAACAGTATTCCCTGATGGCAGTGGCCTCTTTCAGCAGGATAATAGGCCCTGCTAAAAAGCAAAAATGGGTCAGGAATGGTTTGAGGAACACAAATTTGTACAAATTCAGTTGCTTTACTAAGTCATGCAGTTGAAAAGTGTTTGACAGCTGGCCTTTGAAAATTCAAGATATTAGCACTTAAGCTAAGCCCTGCACTTTGCCTTTGACCTCACAGTCGATTATCACCATGAGCTGTACGGCCCCGCCATCCGATAAAATTACCGTCAGCGGAGGGCGAGTCCAGGGGCGAGAAAGTGATGGGGCCATCCTGGTGAATCATCCCAATGTGTCATTGTACCGGCTGCAGATACAGCACATGAGAGAGGACCAGACAGAATGAGAACACAGGAGATTATTAACCTGCTGTCACCTCTTCTCACATTATAGCAGTTATGTCCGTGGTAGATAGCCCTATCCATGGTGAACTGCAGACCTCTGACATATAAACTGGTGATATAGTGGTAAATGAGAAGATGACTATACTGTCTGAGAAGGTAGGCATACTTTAAATCCAAAGCTCATGTGTATTAATTGTAGTAAGGATAGCATTTGGTACATGGTTCACCCACAGAAGTTTAGATAGGCGTACTCCATATAGGTGCATATGCCTTTAATTACTGTACTGCTATAGACCATCTGCACAGCTAGATATTTACCAAAGCACCTGGCTAAGTGTTACTGCTTCACTGTCATGCTTGGGAATCAAATCCTTTTGTTTACACTCGCAGTAAGCACACTGCCTCAAGGTACACCTGGAAGATGTGTGGAGTGCTAAACAAAAATGCTACCAAAAATTAACTGTAAGGCAACATCTCCCAACATTTCCACAATCTAAATTAAAGAAAGTTCTGGAACCCCAGCAGAACATTTGTTTGCTTGTTCATCAGCCATTTTCTGCATGTAAGACTCATTTGGCGATAACATTAATGAGAGATTGTATGGCCTCGCGAACTAAGGACAGAGACAAAAGAGGGGTGAAGATTAATCTGTTTTTATGTGAGCCTCCTGTTTCTGGAAATGCAAGCATTGTATCATTGTATTATTCAGTCCTGTAGCTTTGTTTTCAGTAGTTTAATAGTAGTTTATAATAACAGTGTTTTAAATAAGCGCATGCTGGTTGGATGAATTGCTGTTAGGAGAGTGTGACAGTAGAAGAGGGAAGATGTTACTTGGATGCTAACAGCTCATCAATAAAATGTCAGTCAGATCCAAAAAGCCTTCAGTGTGTTTGCTGCTTGTGTCAGATGGCTCTTGGGGTATAACAAGACACACTTCCACTGCTGAACCAAGTCACACTTGTTGGCTGTAAGTAGGTACTTTGAAATGAAACTTAGATGTACATTCACCCATTCACATATTCATATATGCACACACATACACACACACACACATTTATGAAGTCTGTACGGTGCAAGCAAGTCCAAAACAACAGCAAAGCGACAAATGGCAATAGCCTTAATAACTGGCTGCAAAAAGAAGATGAAAACTCTGATGGCTTTGTAGTGTGATGAAGTGAGGTATACACAGAAGGGATGAAATGTGTTCTCCTAGAAAGACCTCTGAAGGAAAAAGAAACTGAAAATACAGGTTTTTGGAAGCCCAAAACCCAAACCTCATTTGTATAGATGGAATATCTCAAACACAAATGGTTTTTTTATCCCTCCTGAAGACAATCTCATAGTCGATAAAATCACCAGCAGAATT